CAAGTTCAAAAACCCAAACCCGCGTGGCAGCATTCACTCATCTAGACGACCAAGTTCTGGGGATAACAATCTAGAAGATCTGGTAGTAACAAAAAAGAACAAGAAGTATCAAATTATTTTATAAGTGGCGTTCTGTGAAAATAATTATAAGCCTAAATTTACTGCTGCTTTTATTAGAGAGGTGCTAAAAACAACTGAAAGTATCAAGAGCATTATATGGTATAGAAAGCAAATTGTCTATCTTCATGTAATGGTATGGCAATTGTCAGTAACCAGCTGTTTGAAGTGTTTGGAATTAATTTGGGTGTCAGTAAGTGAAATTTTGAAGTAAAGGCGTATTCTTTTTTTGAAATTTGTCGACTTGTCGTAAGTCGTTTGAGTGCCTCAGAGTTTTAAACCTTTATGACTATGCAATTTAAGATTCCAAAAGTTTTAGATTATTTTGTCAAAAGCAACTCGTTTTTTGTGATTTTGTCGTCACAGTTGAGGCTTCTGGCAGTTTTAAGAAAATTACCAGCAATGTACAGCAAAAATCTTTCAAATATTTTCGCACCTTATTAAGGTAAAAGTCTTTTTAGTAGATGATCGCATTCCTTTTCAGTTTTTTAAGAGAAAAGTGTATCAGCCGCGAAAAAGCGACAAATTTTGTGTTGCAAATGGCAAGTTGTTTCAGGAAATCTTCCTATGGCGCGCTTACTGGGTGTCTGAGTGTTTTTCATTTAAAGGAACTTTCTGATGGGAACGAAGAAAACGCTTATACTTTGGTCTTTGCTTTTCTCTTTTTGATCCAGAAAATGCTGGTTTTATTAAAGCAAAAGTTTACTGCTTTGGAAGACGGAAACAGGACGGTTACGCTTTAAGCCTTGGGAGATTTTTAAGGTTTAGCGTAGAAGGTGGAGGCTGTTTTTATGTGGATCTGGGTATTCAAACTGGAGATAAAGTGTTGCTTTGTGGCTTTACTATAGTCAGCCTTTAGGATTTTGAATAGTACATGTTCCTTATGCCTCTGGAAAACTACTTAGCTGAGATAATAAATAGTTGCGTTGATCTGTTGCAGTGGCATGTCTAAGCGTTTTGTTTTCTATACATCTTGCATTACTCTAATGTTGCCGTTGGGAAACGTTGAGGTTGTTTACTATTTGACAATCTGTTCTGAAAATAATACGTTTAACCAAATTTTGTTTCTGGCTCTTATGGCTCTGTTTAAATCCCATCTCTTTGAAAATTGAGTGAGTCTAAATTCTGTTCTACGTCAGTGTGCAAAAACAGCAAAACTGATGATTTTACACGGGCTTAGTTGGAGCTGGCATTCAAGAGGACTTGTTGGACGCCCTGCTAAACTGCAGACTTGAGAGATCTATGATGTACATAGTAATTGCTTGGAAAGTGCCTTTGGTAGAGGCAGGATTTGTTGCAGAATAAACTTAACTGATAAAAGGAGATGGAATTCCAGTTCAAGAACGTGTTGTAGCCAGTTTCCTGAGCCTGAATACCCTGCTACACAATCTTTTCTACGTGGTACAAATTCTGCAAAAGTGATAGTTTATTACTTTCGAAATACAGTACAGTATATATTCAAAGTGCTTAGAAAGACCAAGTATCTTGTGAGGAAATTAATTTGGAGAAATTAAGCTAAAAGATGGTAACTACAGCAAGCCTCACTTCCAAGGGGAAAAGTCCCTACCTTTAGTGCTGTTCTTTTTATACTTATCATTTTCGTCAAAACACTGTAAACAAATTAATTACATGATAAAATATATTATAATATTGGAATTAATTATATTTTGTTATTATACTGGGAATTATGGACGACAAACTACGTGGAACACTAATTACTCGGCAACAAGAGTTTTACAGTTCAAATACTGCTGCGTTTCTGATGGTGAAGAAGAGCAGCTGGTTGCTGGATTGTAAGTATCCTCTTCAGTTAGTTTACAAGAAGCTAAGCGCTACTGGCCACAAATCTCTTCGACTAATCATGATAGCTCGAAGTAGAAGTCACTTGCTTTTTTATGAGAACGCAATCTTTTCTTGATTTCAAAGCTCTCTTTTACTGGATTAAGACGGGTTCTTTTCAGCAAAATTTTGCTTTTTGCGCTTAAAATTATACTGAGTAGGCAATGAGGTGTAAATTATAGAAAGCTGTTGTCACGACAGACAAGGTTAAGCAAAGTTATCTCTTTCCTTTATTTTTGGGTCAAAAGTTGTTTAAGCTTAATACCTAACATCGCTTATACTGGACAGACCTGCCCTTCATACGATATGCTAATGTTGATGTACAGTGCATTTC